GGAGGCATACATAAAAAAACCCTAAAATAGACTAAAGGAGAGAAGATAATACCTAGGTAGGAAGGAATTTAAATCAAAAAAGAAAATTGTTTTCATTCCAACTGTGGTAAAAAGAACACAATATAAAAGGAAAAAAAAAGGTTTACAAGAGAGGAGGCATACATAAAGAAACCCTAAAATAGACTAAAGGAGAGAAGAGGAGAGGCGGCACAAAGAGGGATGAAAAACAAAAGCAAAAACATAAAAGATTTGGAGGACACCTATCTATTTCACTACCATTCTCTGTTTTTGAGTGATGTTCATCGTATCAAGTTTGTTTCTCTTTAATTTAACTATGGAGTAGACTGTTATTTTAGGATTTTTTTTATGTAACCTTACTATGAATATGTTAACAATTTCTTCGATTCAATTATTATATTAAGATGTTAAGTATTTCATTCTATTTGTAATGTTTGGCCAACATCTGCATAATTTAAAATTCAATTTGAGACTGAGAAGTGATAATTGTTTTAGCTATTATTTGAAATACTTTAAAAAATCTATATAATAGAGATATCTTAACAACTTTTGTAATCGTTACAGGTTTTACATTACTTAATAAATTTCGACAAATTCAGAACTTTTATAGAGCATATGGAATTTGCTTGTCGAAATAATTCATTGATACTTGAGAGAGATTAATGTTTAATTTAGAAAAAACTGATTACTAACATTAGGAATAATTAATTCAATTGAGAAATTTCACATAGAAATAGTTACGGTAAGTCAGAAATCCTAGAACCAGTACAATTGAATTCATTAATATTTAATTAATTGTTTGTTTGTTTTTAATCATTAATTTTTATTTTATAAACTATCTCATTTGATTCCTCAAATAGATCATAATTTAAAAAAATTTGATAATTAATAGTAATTTTTACAAATTCTCGTGGGACGATACTCCACTCATCACTTTATTACTTGTTACGATTTGTGCAATTGTGAAATTAAGCATCAACAAACAAGAAGTTGTCCAAGTTTTTAACCTCTAATGGTAATCCACACGAACTAACAATGAGATATATTAAACTCTTTTAGAAGAATATAATTGTTATGTCTTTAAGTACTAGCTATTTTCATTTGTGTTTTTTCAGGTTTATATACTATGCAATTTAGTACTACTTAGAAAAAAAAAAAGAAACATAACATTCTATTTATATGAAAAACTGAAAACTCTATAAATGGAAAAATATTAAATTACCTCCTGAATAATATCACATATATTATTTCAGAATAATTTTAGAAATTTATTCAGTCAAGTCTATACTCAATTTTTATAGGTTTAGAATTATAATTCCTTGTATAAACTACACTTCAGTTCTCAATTTCTAATACTTATTTACAATTAAATCACACTTAATTAATTAATCCATTTTAATTTCTGACTAATAGTTATTATATGTATGACGTATTAGATTCCTTAATAAGTTGACTCAAATATAAATCAAAATCCTAAATAAAATAGGATAAATAAACTAAACAACTTAATTTATTATCAATTCAATAATTAATTGATTTATATTTAAAGATCAAGTATAATATCTAACAACCTGTTATGATCCTTCAAATATTAGAAAAGTTATAAATGGTTTGACTTAACTTTTTAGTGATCAGTTTCTTAATATAATTATTATTCATTCATCAACAATGTTATGATTTAGATATATTATAGCATAAAATGTATTTACTATGAAAAATCATATTTGTTCTCAACATCATAATCATTGATTCTTTGAATAATATTTGAAACTCTTTTCAAATTTCATTCCACTTTATGTAAAGATTTACAATCAATTTAATTTGAGAACATGTGGAGTATTTTTCCTAGTTCACACAGGGTAATGAGTCTTTTCTTGATTACTCAAATACCTTCATATAATTTATGTTATATTTAATATTTACTTATTTGTTACCCTTGATTAGAATATCGTGTAATAAAATCAAAATATAACCAAATTCAACCGAGTTCATGAACATGATCAAATTCAACCTAGAAGTTGTTGTACATGATTTTCTTTAATTTCTTAGGTGTATTTAGAATTTATTTTTTTTGTATTTAGATTAGGATTTTAATAATTAAACTTGGATTTTTTTTTCTTATATATTTAAGCAACTTTAAAGGCTATTTTTCATAAGAAAATTGATGGTAAAAAGAAAAAGAGACTTTTCAAAACTTATACGAGTTTTCAGAGTTTTCTCTACAGTTAATATTAGACTTGAGAGTTTTACAATTTAAGAATGTATAACTTAAAAATTGAGAAACTTTATCTATGTTATGTAACAATCATGATTATCTATGACCTAAACATAAAAATTTAATTTTTAGAAAGTCTTCGATTTGGCTATGATGACAAGAGAAGTTTCTAAGGGAGGTGAGAGCACTGCGCTTGTGCTTTTGAATAAATAAATGCCAACGTTTATCAACTGATGTAAAGTTATTTAACTTTTAGTTAATATTAGAATGTATAAAAATAAATATTTGTTCATCGTGTAATTTTAAAGGGTATAGTTTATTAGTTAGATTTTTTATTTATTTTTTAAAAATTATTAATTCAAGTTTTATAAATTTAAAGATAACTAGAAATTTAAATGTTTATTAACTTTAAAACTAATAAACTAATAGAATAAAGATAACTAGAAATTTACATGTTCGTTAACTTTAAAACTAATAAACTAATAGAATAAATTATAATTCCTTGTATAAACTACAATTCAGTTCTCAATTTATAATACTTATTTACAATTAAATCACACTACATTAATTAATCTATTTTAATTTCTGACTAATTGTTCTTATATGTGTGACCTATTAGATTCATTAATAAGTTGACTCAAATATAAATCAAAATCCTAAATAAAATAGGATAAATAAACTAAACAACTTAATTTATTATCAATTCAATAATTAATTGATTTATATTTAAAGATCAAGTATAATATCTAACAACCTGTTATGATCCTTCAAATATTAGAAAAGTTATAAATGGTTTGACTTAACTTTTTAGTGATCGGTTTCTTAATATAATTATTATTCATTCATCAATAATGTTATGATTTAGATATATTATAGCATAAAATGTATTTACTATGAAAAATCATGCTTGTTCTCAACACCATAATCATTGATTTTTTGAATAATATTTGAAACTCTTTTTAAATTTCATTCTACTTTATGTAAAGATTTACAATCAATTTAATTTGAGAACATGTGGAGTATTTTTCCTAGTTCACACAGGGTAATGAGTCTTTTCTTGATTACTCAAATACCTTCATATAATTTATGTTATATTTAATATTTACTTATTTGTTACCCTTGATTAGAATATAGTGTAATAAAATCAAAATATAACCAAATTCAACCGAGTTCATGAACATGATCAAATTCAACCTAGAAGTTGTTGTACATGATTTTCTTTAATTTCTTAGGTGTATTTAGAATTTATTTTTTTTGTATTTAGATTAGGATTTTAATAATTAAACTTGGATTTTTTTTTCTTATATATTTAAGCAACTTTACAGGCTATTTTTCATAAGAAAATTGATGGTAAAGAAAAAAAGAGACTTTTCAAAACTTATACGAGTTTTCAGAGTTTTCTCTACAATTAATATTAGACTTGAGAATTTTACAATTTAAGAATGTATAACTTAAAAATTGAGAAACTTTATCTATGTTATGTAACAATCATGATTATCTATGACCTAAACATAAAAATTTAATTTTTAGAAAGTCTTCGATTTGGCTATGATGACAAGAGAAGTTTCTAAGGGAGGTGAGAGCACTGCGCTTGTGCTTTTGAATAAATAAATGCCAACGTTTATCAACTGATGTAAAGTTATTTAACTTTTAGTTAATATTAGAATGTATAAAAATAAATATTTGTTCATCGTGTAATTTTAAAGGGTATAGTTTATTAGTTAGATTTTTTATTTATTTTTTAAAAATTATTAATTTAAATCTTATAAATTTAAAGATAACTAGAAATTTACATGTTCGTTAACTTTAAAACTAATAAACTAATAGAATTTGTAGAAATGTAGACAAATTAAACAAGACACTTACATTAATTGAAAAAGACACTTACATTAATTGAAAAAAATTAGTGCTCGTGCTGCCATTTTGATGATTGATATGTATTATGACCACAATTTTAATAAAAGATTCAAAGTCCAAACGTTTTAGAGGCATAAGAAAATGTTGTTAGGCGTTAAGTGAAAATATAATGGATCTTAATTATAATATTATTATCTTTGCCTCTAAAATTTTTAAGAACAGGTTGAGGGATTTCTTGTTCTTAAGAAGGAACAGCTAGGTTTCGAACCAGACAACATGTGTGGTCACCGGGCCTGGTCGAGACGATTGGCAATGAGTCAAAGAAAGTGGGGCTTAGCTTTATTTTTATTTTCAGCATGAATTTCTAAATTTTCAAATCAAGACTGCCCTTTGAATTCCCCATCTTACCACTTATCTAATAAGGTTGACACTTGACTAGGGATGATAATTATACCCGAATTATCATAAAAATAAATAAATAACTTGTCCGAATAAAGCGAAGCAATAAAAAATAAATAACTTATTTGGATATGAAAGTGGGCTCAAAATCAATACAAATTTGTACCTGAATTTATATATATATATAAGAATAATATGTCATAATTATATTATTTTTTTATATATCCGTCTAAAATAGTTTGTACAGGTTTTTTCCCCTAAAATTATTTGATGAATATAAAATGTTTTATTTTATTTTATGTCTTATACACTCTATTTAATGATAACTGATCATAAAACAATTAAATAGACTCCCATTGAAGGTCCGCCTCTAATAAAGCTGATTATAAAAGTTGGGAATTATTTCCGAATTGAGAATAATATAAAGATTAGGTCTCTGTAAAGGGGAAGATGAAGGGTACATCCTCTATCTTCATAGACCTTCATTATATATCATCTCTATGCTTCACAATGAGAAACCAACTTTAATTTATAGTAATAAACACCAATATTAGTTTATTTATTTAGTATTCTACAAAGCATAAAATAAAAGTTTTTTTCTTTTTGTTACAAATTAAAGAATAGTTCTTTGCTCACTGCTCAGGCATCCATGTTAAGTTAAACCATTGCTTATAGGAAAAGCACACACAGAGACTATTAATTTACACCAACTCTGAATTCTAAACATGAGAAGGCGATGGCTTCTCCTGCGGCGGAGGCTGGGATGGAAAGGAGGGGCAGGAGGCCCATGATACTAGGGAATTCTGGCTGCTTCACTTCGACCCCGAGCCCTGCCAAGAAGGTAAAATGCAAGGGCTACTATTAAGATGAATAGTATCATAGGTAATGACACTATCACCACATAGCCCATTTTTGGATCTGATCGATGATCTCCGGAGGACGGCTACTCCTGCACATTGTCACTTGAAGTTAAGGATATTTATCGACGAATAGGGCTAGCTCCAAATATACAACTTACTCATCGGGACCCTTTTCAGTTTAATCTTAACCAAAATGTTTGAAATCTTGTCTCCTGTTAAGAATCTAATGACACTGTTTTCCAAAAATTAGACTAATTAATCACCATGGATTATTTAGTTTATTCCATACTAATAAAAAAGATATCCAAGAATTGGTAACCTAGTATTTGTACAAGTTTAGTTTAGTTTCATACATCATGACAAACAAACATGCAATTATATACACACTCGCGGGTCAATGGCCCCTCCTCTGCGGTTAGTTGAATAAATTTTTTAAAATATATAAAAAAAAATAGAAATATAGAGAATTTTTTTGAGTATTTATTAAATCCAGCTAAGTGAGTAAATTTTAAAATACCATAACCTAGCTATTTGCCTAACTTGAGATTTAAACTAAATTGTGATAGAGTTACCCCAAATTAAATTGATTGATTAAATGAATTAAAATATAATTTTGATAACTTGTAAAAACATGGCTTAACTTTTAACAAAACTTCAAGATGATAACTTTTTTTCACAAAATTATTGAGACAATAACAAATTAGATCGATTTTAGTCCCTAAAAAAATCATGTCATGGTCTCCATTGAGTTTAATAATTAATTTGTTATAATTTTTTTAATTATATGATGAAAATATATAGTCATAAAATCAAGCATCAACCTAAAAATAAAAACTTATTTGAGACAATGATAACCCTAAAAAAAACAAAATAAATAAATAAATCATGCAGTTTATTCCTCAATCAATCTAATATTAAAAGATAAAAAATAAAAATAAAAACAACTAACAAATCAAAAACCAAAAAACCATATCAGGTTAGTAGATAAATTCGTCAAACCTATAAACCAAGTAACTCGAGCTAGCATACCAAACATATAAACCAAGTTATAGACTTCTCACTCCAATAAGATTATATTTATGATCACAAAATAAAACACCAACCTAATACTAATATGCTTTAAAAAATTAAGCAAAAAATCAAAATCTAAATATTTAACATCGCAACATGGATAATTTACCTTGATGTGTTTAATGAATTTCTCTATCAAAATAAATTTGTAATAGAAAAACATATAAAAATTATAATAAAAACTAACACATAAAATTTATTGAATAAAAAAATACAAGGCTACACATATAAAACATCTTATAAAAAAATCAATATAAAAAATAAACAAGTTTAATCTATATAAAATTAACCAAAAAAAATAACAGAAAAATCATTCATACCTTTTTCAAAACTAAACATACCCAATATTTAAAAAAAAAAAACATCACAAACTAATCAAAACATAAACTCAAAATGTATTTGTAAAAAAAATATCAACTAATATATTATTCTCTTCTTAAAACATAAAATTTAAAAAAAAAAATCAAGTCAAGGATTGTTGAGTCTAGTAAGTGAGGCCTGACACCTGTCCTAATCAAGCAACGACCCTTGCATGGGTCTATATTTTTTTTAAGTTTAACAAGGCGAACAATGCATTGTCTATTTATCTTTAGAATCCAGCCACTATGATAGCTTAAAAAACAATTTATCAAAAAACTCATTTTCAACCCTTTTTTTAGCCTAAAACACTTAGAAAATATTCTAGAAATCTTGTTAAACAAATCCATGGCCTTGAAAAACATAAAAAGCTGCCCTAAAACCCAAAATCCATTAAAAAAAAAAAAGCTTTCTGAACTCAAATATGATTTTTTAGGTGTTTTCAAAGTAAAAAAAATATATAATTTTAACTCCCCTTATCATATAGAACCATTTGACATAAAAAATAATCATTCTGATGGCTGAATTCCCCACCAACAAACATTCTCTCTCTATAAGCTGGAATTTAGTGATCTCTCTCTCCTCCAATCAAAAAAGAACTAAAAATGAGTAAAATAAAGGTCAATACCAAAATTGAATTTGTAAAATTCTAGGGGCTAGTAATTCAATAGATAAAAAATAGGGGCTTAAATGAATTTTTAACAAAATTTTCAATTTGACACCTATGTTATTTTTTTTTTACTTTAGTCCATTTTCTTTCTATTTAACCCTCCTTTATTAAAAAAAAAATGCAATTGGACTCTGATCTCTAAATGGCTCAATTGTTCAAAACAAAAAAATTTAATAATTAAATTGAAATTTTAAAAAAAGTATACTATTATAATCCATATCCATAGTAAAATATAAAAGGATGAATGGTGTTTTTAATAACCTTAAAAACACCACATTTTTTAGCTTTATGTATGGTATGGATTATAGCTATATTAGCACATATCTAATGTTGAATAAAAAAAATTAACACAATCATAGCATGCATACAACGAATATAAATTATTTCTACTCAAGCAAAACTAGCATACAAGACTTGTTTATTGAAGCACTTAAAGGTATATCAAGTTCAAAATTGTTGTTATCAATAATGAATCATTTATTTATAAAACTTTATTATTTCTGATTTGGTACAAAAAAACTTTTGCACCATCATCACATTATTTAAATGCATTTCTAAATAAGATCTACAGACACAAGAAAATATATCCAAGTATCTCTCAATATAAGCTCTAGATTAGGAGGAAAACCAAAGCTTCAAACAAATAATAAAAACTAAAAATATAAAGTGAAAAAGAATCTAAAAATAATAAGAACTATTAAGAAAACTTTTTCTACAACCCTTTATAGTGAATTTTAAAATAAAACTAATAAGAATTAATTTTGATTCCATCATCAACTTTGATTATCCATAGAAAAACCATAATTAAACCTAATAGATTTGGTTTTAATAAGTTAAAAAAGTATGTCCAAAAAACCATCTAGTTTATAAAGAGTAAGTTCTAGATAAAAAATTTAAAAAAAAAATTATCAGACTTAATTTATAGACTAAACAAAAGAATGGACTAAAAAAATAATTTTTCAGTGAACAAACTTAAACCTAAAATTAAAATCGTAAAAATAATTTTTTATGGCACAAAAAACATATTTTATAATAATACCTGAAACTTAAACACAAGCAAGTCGGGTTAGCCACGCATGTAACTTAAATTCAAAATTCAATTTGCCTAGATCCTTCTTTTTTTTATAACCTTAGGTGTTCTACTAGCCTGATTTTAATTTTAAACCTTTTCATTATATAAATGCTTCTTTTTTAGGATTTTAAATTTTTAAAAAATATGTTAGTTAAAAGTTTTTTTATATTAATTTTTTATTCATTTATAATTTATTTAAATTATATTAATATTTCAAGTTTATATTAAAGATTAAATTCAAATAAAATTTCAACACTAAAAGTAAACTCCACTTTTAATTTAACCTCAAAAAAATCTCATTAACCATGTTTTAACAAGAATTCTTCAATAGACATCTTAATTAAAACATATCTAAAGCACACCTTTCTCTGTATGGCCAAGAATCCAAATGGTATAACTGAGAATTACCCAGTCAAATCAACACCATAAATTGGGCATGGCTACGAAAAGATAAAAGCATGAACCAAAGCATTTCTACATTGAATTCCTATGAACATTTGGGGTGAAAATGAAAGCCTCATCTGGACAAAGCAGCATCTTAAGAACTATATAAAACAAGCAAGCGAGCTTGCCTCATTCAAATGTCCCTCCAAACCTAGATTTTGGCATTAAGGATGAACATATTTTCTTTTTTCTTTTTTCTTTTTTCTTTCTTGAACGGGGACCAGACACCCTACGTCAAAAAAAAACAAAAACTACGGTAATCTGAGGATACGCAGAGCAGAGCTTTATATATTCTCACATTCACAATTACTCTCCGATCCGATGTGAGAAGTTTGTGCCACATTGACATCTAAAGGGCACACATGGAGATTGACACCCAACTGCCCAAATCCCCACGGAAAGCTGGCTCAAGGGCTCTACCCCTTTCTTTCCCCTCCTTTTAGGGCTTTCGCCTCCCGTTTGTAAGAACATGCATATATATTGGGATCAACTAATCGTCGTCGTCGTCGTCGCTTGGAAAGAACAACATCAGTATCGATGTTAATTGTAGTGAGTGGAGATGAAAAAGAACAGATAACAGGTTAAACCGAAGTAAGTATGTGTCATGTTTAATATGCAAAATCACTTGACTGGCACAGGAAACAAACCCATTTTCCACTTTCAATTTCATTGATACTCAAATTTCTAACTACATGTTCATGTATGGATTCCCAATTAATTAAGATACATCTAAATTACTAACACTCCCACTCAATCCAAACTGCTCCTTGTGTATAAAGAAACTGGTTTCCCATAAAAAAACAAAAAATAAAAAGTGAATTATGGTACGGGGAGTTTTCTTATAATCAGAAAAGGCAGAGCTTACCTCTTTGTGAATTGTTTGCGATTGAAATTCAGCAAGAAATCCTCGTCGATCGCATGATACGAAGCAAGAAAAAGCAAAATTCATAAACAATGGAGAAGCGTGCGTGGTGGCATATTTTCGTGCAGAGCGATAGATAAGGGGTTCCATACCACACGTGTCATCATCACTGTGGTGACGTGAGGTAGAAAACACCACTCTTACCGACTCCGCCCTGTGAAGGAAGCGTGATTGAAGTTATTTCAATTTATAATGGTCAAATCAAAACTACACGAAACCTTGTTTTGTTTTTTTGTCACCGTTTAAAAAATAACTTGTTTCGGAATGACGTTTAATATATTTTTTTATTAAATTTAATTTTTTTTCCTTTAATTTCATTTTATTTTAATAATTTTATATTGTTTTAATGAGGTGAAATCAAAAATAAATTTTAAAAAATAAAAAAGTATATATTATTTTCATATTTGTCTAAAGAAAACGTTTTAAAAAATATCAACCAAACAAATTTGGTCTACCTCGACTGAATGAATCCTTGTAACAACAGGACCAATAAGGTTTTTTTCCCCCCCAGATGCAAGATCCTTTCTCTGTATTTATTACCTTCCCTTCCCTTGAGTGAAAGAGTTCGATGCCGCTCATGGTCATGGATCAGGTAGCCAAATCTTGACACTCCTGCCCTATTTTGTGTTTCTCACTCTCGAACCAAGACAAGAACAGATGGATAATTTTGCTCTACAGAACTTGACAGGATTTTTAACATAAATAAGGTGGTTATTAGTTACAGAACCAGAAATGCAATTACTTTCCACCTTTCTACTCATTTCTCTTTAATTCTGCTGCAATTACATATCCAGTTATCTATATCCCTATGTATACATAACATACAAGGAAAATTAATTTTTGCAGCAGACCTTTCGATGAGAGAGAGAGAGACCCACAACAACTGAGAATTAGTAAGCTGCGTTTCAAAATTATACAGCTTGATACCATCCAGGTGGGCAAACTGATGGAACAAAGGCCACGAGCTCTCAGGAGCTGATGTCAGAACCTTGCTCTACCCAGACTGCTCATTTACTAGCAATTCCCTTGCTGGATAGTCGGCGCTTGTAGCGCTTAAGCACAGAAGCCAGATTCTCTTTTCCCTTTGGGAAAGCAACATCGCCAGCAGCAGTTCCTGATCGTCCCTTTCGGCAAGATATGGCAACCTCTACATCCTTAATTAAGTCCAGAAGCGTTGCTGCAGTTGTGCATTTCCCCCTACCTGGTTTGGAAGCAGGTGGCAACATTCCATTCGAAACAGGTGGACTTGACCTGTGCTGGTGGGATGCAGGGATTTGAAGGCAGAAGCATGGGGACATGGGACTACGGGGCTTTGAAAATGCCAATTCTATGATACCCTGTTATTCAGAAAGCATAGCTGTCAGTTTTAGAGTACGGGTAAAAAAAAAAAAAACCTACTACTTGCAAAAACACACCAGAATAGGATTTCAAGAGCCAAGAAAAATGAAGCACATGTATTGCTACCTAAGGGATGTTGCAGATGATTTAGTAGCAGCAATAAAAACCTAGACGCCCAGCAACTATCTGGCTCAACATGAACAACAATATGCAAATATGTGCAGGAAATTAATGAGTTGCCCACCATTCAAGAGCATAGCAAGGTTTTTTTTTTTTTTTTTTCCTGGACGATCTACAAGCAGGAGCATTTTATGCAGGGGTCAAAATCCCTTGTTCAAAATCGCATAAATAGATAGCAAAAGATCAGAGAAATTTACCTGGAGACGATTTAGCACATAAGTGTATTTCCCCCACAACTCAGGCCGGCTTTCCATGAGTGACAAATCTAGAATGCGGTGAATACACCAGACCCCAAAGCTTATTATCAAATCCACTCTCCAAACACAGCCCTCCCCACAATTAGGAACTGAGGAAACCATAATGTTAGTGATAGCTGCATCATCATTCCTCAAAACAGAACCAGACTTCCTATCAGAAAACAAATAAGGTGATTCACCCATGTGAGCTACACAGTTCATTTCTCTTGTTTCAGCTTCATACAAATACCTCTCCCTTGCAGCAACACGATCAATCAGATCCTCGTCAGCTCCATCATTTTGCCTGAACAACCAGTCAGATCCTTCCAATTTCAAAAGCTTCATGATACAATGCCTAAAAGACTGAAGAAGTTGGGCCTCAGGATCCACAGGAGAAATTACTTCACGATTGATAGAATTAGACCGATTTCCTAATCCACTCCCAACAACACGACTTTTGTCAGCAACACCAAACTGCTCAAATGGCTGCTTGGACCAGAGGGATCCAGGGTCTGAAGTCACGTTAAATGAGAAAGCATCCCCATGTCCTTTTGGGAGTCTATTAAAAGACAAAGGGCCTCCTGCTCCTACACCTGATCTTGTATTTGAATAATAAGATTGTTCATAACCTGTTCTACTAACCGATGAACCAAATCCTGCAGACTTGTCCCACTGAGCATTCTTTTCAGGCACATATAGGTCCCTGTAAGGAGCAGCAAGCCCTGTGATGTCAGGCAAACTATGGTACTTCTTTGTATTAGCTGACTTGCCAACATCATCAGCAGATCCAGAAGAGTAAACATCATGATAAAGTCTTTCAGATTGCATCGTGCTATTTCTAGATACTGCAAGGTTCTGAAATCCTGGAGGTTGTGAAGAGCTTGGTCCATTTTGCAATTTTTGCCCCATAGCAACAGTAAGTGGGTCCCTGTAGTTTCTAGGGCCCAAGGATGGTGATATTGGTGCTGGTGAGTCCATTTGACCATTTAAGCTACCAGAACTTCTTTCCTTAGCAATTTGATTGATGATGGATGCAATCTGATAACCATGCACTGTAGCTGGCTGAATGCACCGGCCATCAGGAGATGGTAGCGTGTGTGCACTAGAATACCGTCTCTCACTTGAGTCAGCTATACTGCGGCTGGGAACTTGTGCATATGCATCCAACAACTGCTTGTGGCTGGACCACAAAGAGGATGGTCCCCTCTGACCTCCATAAGATGAGTCGATATTGCTCTGCACCCTCAAATGATTGCGAGAGTCGCCCAAACTTGAATTGATCAGAGAATCAGATGCTCTACCACCAACAGATGAGAAATATCCACTAAATTCTTTCCCAGCAGCGTCCACTTTCAACAAAGAAGGCTTCAAATCAACCCCCAGGGCATCCAGTTTCTTGGTCTTTGCTTCTTGAGTTGTTTGCCCATGGAAATCATACAATTGTCCCCAAAACTCATCAAGAACTGAAGCTAATTGGCGTCTTGCAGCACGACCCAACCCTGCTAATCTTGAAAGACTTCCAGCACCATTCCCACCCTCATCATTTTTACCACTAAGACTCCTAAATGATCCAGGACCATCAGATGTCAAAGATGAAGTGCTTCCAGGAACCCCTTTGGATGATTCTTCAGGCTCCCAGCTATCCCCTTCATCGTCCTCCTTTTCAGCATGGAAATCACCATCTATATCCACAGTCTTTTCAACTGGGTCCATTGATTCAATATCAGTCTTCTTGGCACCAAGCAATTCACTGCCAGGGACCACATTCATAGCAGCTGACAGAGATACTGACTCTATTATAGGTGATGTTTCCTCCTCATAGAATGTTCCAGGACTAGAGAATGTAATTTCAGAATGATTTTCTTTTATAGTAGTCAAATGATGTTCCTGATCCGACTCCATAATTGTCACAGGCAAATCAGGATCAGCATTTGCAACAGTTACATCCGAGTAACTCTTGGCAGATTTCCCTGGACCTGATAATTGTTCTTGCCCCCCTAAGGGTTCCTCTTCAGTATATCTGGTTTCACTAAAAAATTCTTCCTCTATCTGCATGGATGGCTCAGATACAGTATTTTGTACATCCCAATTCCATACCTGAGCATCTAAGTGGGTTGCAGATATCAATGGGGTGGCTGCTAGCCAGAGCATCAAACAAAATGATGAACAGGCAGTAATGAGAAGAACAGTGTAAGAGGTTGACAAACCACCACTTGTGCTCCATCTCAAATTGCCTGCCCAATCACTATCCCCAAAAACCATTTCCACCACAAAAATAATCTTTATGCCAAGCATCCCCATGAATGAAATCAGTGCTAAGAACTCCAAGAACGCAGAAATTTTGTAGGCAGCCATCACTTGTTTAGATGAAGCAATACGGAAAAGGGGAATCACTGAAGATGGAAGTAGTAAAGCTACCATAACCTGTGTAAATATAAGCAACTGGTATATTCCTTCAACTCCTGAAGTCCACACACAATAAAGAGCTGGAACTACTGCAATAATTCTGATTGTTGCACGTTGAAGCCAATTAGGAATATCCAGTCTGAGAAAACCCTGAAGCACTACTTGCCCACCAAGATTCCAGGTAAGTGCAGTGATGTGATTTGCAAAAAACAAAATGAGTGAAAAGACGCAGAGTGCTACTGGACTTCTGAACACCTGAAAAAATCATTATTTGGAATCAAAGTAATAAGTATTCATCAAATTCATACAGAATAATGCTTGCATGCCAAAAAGTACATCTTCACAACTAATGAATATGAGAAGAATTGTACCGGCTCCATAAGTGACATCGCATCAGGAAAAGTAAGTAAAACAAGGCCACTGCTGTAGAACACATTTGCAGCAGAGTTCATAAGAACATAATTTACCAGATAGATGCCACTGAAGATGCATAAAATGGCAAAAAAATGGTTAAGGCACAAGGCACCCTTGGAAATATTTGGTGATCCCTGATGTTGCTGCAAGAAAATTAAAGATGTCAGATTAAGTGATCCAACAAAAGCTATCATTTAATATCGAACTCATTTCAAAAGCATATGAAACCAAATAACTGGAACACACTGGTGGAGCTTAATTAAATAACAGTGATTAAGCATCAACAAGGTGCACATGTCAAATTCATTTCTATTTTCCAACAATGTGCAAGAGTAAGAAGCTTTCATGCATGTTAAGCAATTGAAACCAGCAAACTCAAATGTCTCTGAAAACAATATATATATAATGAGATCATGGCTTCCAAATGCACACCAAAAAATTAATAAGAAAGGGTTGAGAATTATTTTTCAAATGCAATGCATCACAAACAAAAAAATGATAAGTTAGGCTTAAGCCTCATTATCCAGACAAATTTCCATGAAAGCAGATATTGTTTAAAAGAAGCGAAAACCAGCCTAGAATTCCCTCTGAAATATTTT